GGGGAAGGTCCTTCTGTGTATGTTTATCTTATTGGTTGTTGAATAAAGCACTGCTCAGCCAATGAGGCAGAAAGTTTGGCGGGACAAGGAGTCGAGGAGGATTCTGGGAAATGTAGGAAACAGAAGTCTGGTGATCCAAGCAGGAAGTGACATAGCAGGCGGACTCAGAAGATAAGCAAGGACAAGAAGGAAGTCGTTCTCTTGCTCTTCCTCCTGCTCTCTTCTCTACAGAGCCGCCATGTGATCCTGGGAAGAGGATGCCAGAGGAAGGTGTCCTCTATAAGCTATGTCTTATAAAATATATAGATTTATGATAATTAAGACTGAGCTAGCATATAAGAAATCCTAGTCATTGGCCAAGCAGCATTTGAAACTAATACAAATCTCTGTGTATTATTTGGGACCCTAACGTGGTGGGCAGAACTCAGGCAGCTGGTGGAAGGTGCCCATGTGGCGACAGGGCTCTGGTGGCTTGGTAGAAAGACTTATCGGAACAACTTTAGAAAACATACTGGAAGTTGCTAATAGCATATGCAACTACCCCATGACATGGATAATTTCCCTCCCATGTTTTTACTCAAGAAAAATGAAAGCATATGTTCAAACAAAAAAAAAAACATACACAACTATTCATACAGTGAATAACTATCCAAATTGGAAACAACCCATAAAATAGGGATGAATGAATCAACTAGCCATACAATGAAATGTGACTTGGCAATGTAAGGGAAGGGAACATCTTTCAACAATATAGAGGAATCTCAAAAATATCATAGTAAAAAAAAAAGAATTCAGTCACAAAATAGTATATATTGAGTCCATTTTCATGCAACAGTAATTACCCAAATAGTCTGTCTATGATGAGAAAATAGTGGCTTCCCCTATGGAATCATGCTGGAAATGGCATGGAATAGGATGCATGGGAAATTTGCAAAGTCCTCATAAGGATTTATATCTAGATAGGGGTTTAGGAAAGATATTCATCAAAACTTACCATCTAGATTTATACATTTCACTCAATGTAAATTTTGCCTCCAAAAGAAAAAGAGACACCAAATATATATTGACCTGTAGTTATTGCTACACTTGCTGAAGTACTTAGTGGTGAAGTGTACTGATTGCACCTTATTTTAAAATATATCAGTAAAATAAAGATAAGAATAGAGTCCAGCAAGCACTTAATAATGCTATTGGAGAGGGTTAAGGATTGGTACATAGGCACAAGCTTTCTGGTGTTCAGTATGCCTGTTGTAAAATTTTCATAATAAAACTGTAAAGAGAAAATAAGAAAAATTTTATCTAACTGACACAATTGTTACAAGAATAGAAAGTCGAAGGGCTGGAGAGATGGCCCAGTGGTTAAGAACACTGGCTGCTCTTCTGGAGGATGCTGGTTCAATTCCCAGCACCCACATGGCAGTTTACAACTATAACTCCATTTCCAGAAGATCTGATGCTGTCTTCTGGCTTCATAGGCTGCAGGCATGGAGCAAATCCGCCACACACAAAATAAAAATAAATTTAAAAAAAGAATACAAAGTAGGCTGTGTTCATTATTGCTAAAATGAGTTAAGTGTTTATGAATAAAATGAAAGATGAAAGGGTAGAACACGTTCCCCAGAACCCATTTAGTATCATACTTCTAGTGCCTTTTTCCTCTCTGCACTTCAGAACTCCATATGTGTGTCTATGTATGTGTATTTGTGTGTTCCTGTGTATGAACATGCAGGTGCACATATGTGTGCTTGTGGCGATCAGAAGATAACAGCAAATATCATTCCCTGTTTTTTGAGCATGCTCTTTCATGGGCCTGGAGCTCACCAAATAGGCTAGACTGGCTGGCCATCCAACTCCAGCCATCCACATATATCCACTTCCCCAGTACTGGGGTTATATACATAAGCTGCCTCACCCGTTTATTAATATGGATACTAGGGAGTGAGCTCGGGTACTCATGCTTGCAAGACAAGTACTCTACAGGCTGAGTTAATTCTTTAGCACCTAATCTTCCTTTCTTATGCTGCATATGACAAGATTATCTGGATGACAGGATATTTAGCTTTGATGTTGCTTTTGTCAGCAAATGCTGAAGTTTCACAGAAGCATGCAAACACTTCCCATCTGATCACCCCAAATATCACCTGGATGAGTATTAGATGAAGTTCTCATCATTCTTCTGAGGGATTTTATATTGATCTTTGTTTGTTAGTGGCTTACTTGGGAAACCACTTTAAGAAAGCAGTTACTTGTGTCGCCAAGGATGCACAAAGCAGAGCAATGAAGTTGACCAAAAAAATTACCTTGAACTGGCAATTGCTTGCAGCACCTCTAAACCAAGATACTTGTTTCAGGATTCACAGTATAACCGGCTATACTTAAATTCCGGTTGCTATTTATTGGTCTATGCCTCCTAGTACACATATAATACTCTAAAAGGAGCTCTGCGTTGTCTGGTGTGTGGCTCATAGAATAGGCATAAGGGCCTAGTTTTGTTTATGGTTGTATTCTCGGTGTCTGGCACAATGAAAGCTCGTGCATGACCTTATGAGGAATTCTGACCCCTGCATTGTTTTCTTGAGTGTCTTCCCCCTAGCCCTACCATCATTCTGAAGGTCGTAGCCTTGTCAATGCCTTTATTGTCTCCACCATTAATCAATTTATTTTGATCACTTATTCATTCATCATTCGTTTTTACGTTCTTTCCATGCTTATTCTCTCATCACCCAGAATCCATGCGTTTTGTTCCCCTAGTCTCACCCCCCCCACCTCCTCTCCTCACCCCGCCCCAGACACGCCCCAATCCATCCCACCCTCCTTTCAGGCCAATTGTAGCCTACAGGCCGGGCGGGACCGGGACCAGGGCGGGGCTTCACTCTCAGTACCCCAGGCAGAGCCCCCAGCCCCGGAAACCTGGCCTCCCTGTGGCAGGGCTCTGCCAGGCACTGCCTGCCACGCCGGGCCTGCTTGCACCGCACCAGCTCTGCTTCTGCTAGGGCCCAGAGTCAGGCGCTGCAGGCCGGGTGAGCGTGCGGACCGTGGGAGGGACGTGCGATCCAGAGATCCTGAGAGATGTATGAAGCCAAGAATGTGCGGCCCAAGAGAGCATGCGGGGCGGCGGGAGGATGTGCTTCGGGGCCTGG